AGATTAATCACAGCCGGGTAAGTTATCAATGCCAAATCTTTATGATTAAATATCCGACGATTTGATTGTCGAGTCAAACGATGCTTTTGCATCAAATCTTTTGGATAAGCCAGTTTTTTTAATGTTGTTGATTGTACTGTGATTATAAACTGTTTAAAACGATTTCCTGTTGAAATGTCATAGCTACGTCCTCTGTAACATTGTTATTAACACTGTGGTAAAATCAAACATGAATACATTTTGATTGACATAATCATTTTAAGGATATGTTAATTGTTTTTGTAGAAAAACTGCCTTCCTTGACTACAAAGTAAACATTACTAGTGGGGAAATCACGAGGTCACTAGGAGATACCCAGAATTGGACCAATGGTTTAAACAGAACACAATATGGTCAGGAGTGCGTGATTATAAATCATACAGGATTCTGGGAAACTTCATACTGTGATACAATCCCCTCCCCTAACAGAGTCATCTGTTCGATGTGTGAGACAGGAGGTAAGATATGATGTTATGTTACAAACCTGTTCGATGTGTGAGACAGGAGGTAAGATATGATGTTATGTTACAAACCTGTTCGATGTGTAAGACAGGAGGTAAGATATGATGTTATGTTACAAACCTGTTCGATGTGTAAGACAGGAGGTAAGATATGATGTTATGTTACAAACCTGTTCGATGTGTGAGACAGGAGGTAAGATATGATGTTATGTTACAAACCTGTTCGATGTGTGAGACAGGAGGTAAGATATGATGTTATGTTACAAACCTGTTCGATGTGTGAGACAGTAGGATATAGTGTTATGTTACAAATCTGTTCGATGTGTGAGACAGTAAGATATGATGTTATGTTACAAACCTGTTCGATGTGTGAGACAGTAGGATATAGTGTTATGTTACAAATCTGTTCGATGTGTGAGTCAGGAGGTGAGATATGTTGTTATGTTACAAACCTGTTCGATGTGTGAGACAGGAGGTAAGATATGATGTTATGTTACAAACCTGTTCGATGTGTGAGACAGGAGGTAAGATATGATGTTATGTTACAAACCTGTTCGATGTGTGAGACAGGAGGTAAGATATGATGTTATGTTACAAACCTGTTCGATGTGTGAGACAGTAAGATATAGTGTTATGTTACAAATCTGTTCGATGTGTGAGACAGTAAGATATGATGTTATGTTACAAACCTGTTCGATGTGTGAGAGTTACAAACCTGTTCGATGTGTGAGACAGTAAGATATAGTGTTATGTTACAAATCTGTTCGATGTGTGAGACAGTAAGATATGATGTTATGTTACAAACCTGTTCGATGTGTACGACAGTAGGTAAGATATGATGTTATGTTACAAACCTGTTCGATGTGTGAGACAGTAAGATATAGTGTTATGTTACAAATCTGTTCGATGTGTGAGACAGATATACAAATCTGTTTGATGTTATGTTACAAACCTGTTCGATGTGTGAGACAGTAAGATATAGTGTTATGTTACAAATCTGTTCGATGTGTGAGACAGTAAGATATGATGTTATGTTACAAACCTGTTCGATGTGTGAGACAGGAGGTAAGATATGATGTTATGTTACAAACCTGTTCGATGTGTGAGACAGTAAGATATAGTGTTATGTTACAAATCTGTTCGATGTGTAAGACAGGAGGTAAGATATGATGTTTTGTTACAAACCTGTTCGATGTGTAAGACAGGAGGTAAGATATGATGTTATGTTACAAACCTGTTCGATGTGTGAGACAGGAGGTAAGATATGATGTTATGTTACAAACCTGTTCGATGTGTGAGACAGTAAGATATAATGTTATGTTACAAATCTGTTCGATGTGTGAGTCAGGAGGTGAGATATGATGTTATGTTACAAACCTGTTCGATGTGTGAGACAGTAAGATATGATGTTATGTTACAAACCTGTTCGATGTGTGAGACAGTAAGATATGATGTTATGTTACAAATCTGTTCGATGAGTGAGACAGTAGGATATAGTGTTATGTTACAAATCTGTTCGATGTGTGAGACAGGAGGTAAGATATGATGTTATGTTACAAATCTGTTCGATGTGTGAGACAGTAAGATATAGTGTTATGTTACAAACCTGTTCGATGTGTGAGACAGTAAGATATAATGTTATGTTATAAATCTGTTCGATGTGTGAGACAGGAGGTGAGATATGATGTTATGTTATAAATCTGTTCGATGTGTGAGACAGGAGGTAAGATATGATGTTATGTTATAAATCTGTTCGATGTGTGAGACAGGAGGTGAGATATGATGTTATGTTATAAACCTGTTCGATGTGTGAGACAGTAAGATATAATGTTATGTTACAAATCTGTTCGATGTGTGAGTCAGGAGGTGAGATATGATGTTATGTTACAAACCTGTTCGATGTGTGAGACAGTGATATATAATGTTATGTTACAAATCTGTTCGATGTGTGAGTCAGGAGGTGAGATATGTTGTTATGTTACAAACCTGTTCGATGTGTGAGACAGTGATATATAATGTTATGTCACAAATCTGTTCGATGTGTGAGACAGGAGGTTAGATATGATGTTATGTTACAAACCTGTTGGGTGTGTGAGACAGTAGGATATAGTGTTATGTTACAAATCTGTTCGATGTGTGAGACAGGAGGTAAGATATAATGTTATGTTATAAATCTGTTCGATGTGTGAGACAGGAGGTAAGATATAATGTTATGTTACAAATCTGTTCGATGTGTGAGACAGGAGGTAAGATATAATGTTATGTTATAAATCTGTTCGATGTGTGAGACAGGAGGTAGAACAAAATCAGCACAAGGATATGGAAACGAAATGAAAAGTTTGTTTATTCTCTATCCATGTCTTGATGTTATCTCAATGTTCATACTCCAAAATGAATTCTGTAAGATTAAGTTTATATCAAATTGTGTTCATGTACAATTGTGGTTACAAATTCCTGTAACCCTTTTGTTTTTCATTCTAGGTACACGTTGTTATGACAACAACCAATGTAAACAATGTTCCTGTCCCGAGTACTTTGTCAATGACGTAAACATCACTGTAGGTCTGCAGAAGGTGCTGGACGACTTAAAGAAGACGACATTAGTGAATAGAAGAACGCTGTCGTCTGCTCGCCGCAGGGTCACATGCGCTGAGGACTCTCGCCAGTCCTCGGCCGCTATGGGTTATGTGGGAGCAGTTCTACTAACATTAACTTTTGGCGGATTGGTCCTGATGGACGTACCATTATTGTTTCTGGAATTTAAGACCCACATCTTGGGTAAGTTCTGTTAATATCACAGCAGCTCGTGCTTCATCATGTACATCTTTGTCGTATCATGTGGTCTAAGTCTTTCGTATTGCTCTTCTGTATGTAAATAAAACTTTGTGATTCTTTCTGATGTTGTACTGTTTTTTGTATTAAATAAATCATACTAAGCTATTTTCTCATATAACTTGATATCGATACGACACACATACTCTGGTGCAGTTAACACGTGATGCATCACCTTATTTAACATACTTAAACAAAGGAAAACTTAATTGTCCTCGGCTTGTTGAAAAAAAAGGAAAACTTCATTGTCCTCGGCTTGTTGAAAAAAAAAGGAAAACTTTATTGTCCTCGGCTTGTTGAAAAAAAGAAAAACTTTATTGTCCTCGGCTTGTTGAAACAAAGAAAAAATTTTAATGTTCTCGACTTGTTGAAATCTAACAAATAGCCAATATTTTCGATCCAATATTCATGTTTTTTCAGAGGAATTAATTTATAGTTTAGTTTCAAAAAGCATAATGTAACGTAATCTGGGTGATCCTAAGAAGCTTCGGACAAAATAATATTTTATGTGTTCCGTGTAGAGCAGTGGTAGAATAGGCATGAAATGTTTGACGATTTGCCCTCTTGACGATTTGCCCTCTTAACGATTTGCCCTCTTGGCAATTTGACCTTTTCCTCTTGACGATTTGCCTCTTGACAATTTACCCTCTTGGCATTTTGCCCTCTTGGCGATTTGACGTCTTGACGATTTGCCCACTTGACGATTTACCCACTTGACAATTTACCCTCTTGACAATTTACCCACGTGACGATTTACCGTCTTGACGATTTTCCCCCTTGACGATTTACCCTCTTGACGATTTAACCTCTTGACAATTTATCCTCTTGGCAATTTGCCCTCTTGACGATTTGCCCTCTTGACAATTTACCCTCTTGGCATTTTGCCCTCTTGGCGATTTGCCCTCTTGACGATTTGCCCACTTGACGATTTACCCACTTGACGATTTACCCTCTTGACGATTTACCCTCTTGGCAATTTGCCGACAACAAGACTTTAATGACATTCCATATGTTATCGATACGAGATAATACTGGTGTCATTATATCAGGAATGTTAATTCTCGAGAATGGAGTCTATTACTGAACGAGTTATCATTCAATCTTGATCTTTCTCAGACATTGGTATCAACTATGATTTATCTTATCAGTTGGGTATAAAACATTGTTATTTTCATCAGATTATTTATTTAAAAGTTTGTAAACCAGGATTTAGAAATACTTTTAACCACGTGATCAAATGCTGATTCTGGAGAAACGGTGAATGCACCCTGTTACACGAAGAGACAGACTAAACACTCTAGATAATTTCCCTCAGACAGTTTCACCAAGTGGAGCCTCCCACTACCTGTCTCTATTTCCCTGCATTAAAAATTTGAGGATACATTGAGAATTTTTCTTGAAAGAGTGAAACCAATCCATTACTGCCAAAATCCAAGATGGCTGCCTGTCAGCCATTTTGTTCTTCAGATCAGTCTGAAAATGTGACAAAGCACAACTAGGGGCAAGGGAAGCTTACATATGAAATTTGAAAAAGACCCATCCTGTACTTCTTAAGAAAGAGTGAAAACAAGAATTGTTTAAGGACTTACTGACGGATGACAGATGCTAAGCGATTTGAGTGTCCACCATCTGATGATGATTGGGCTAATAAAAACATGCAAAAACAAACACTTCTATATGTCTTTATTGGCCACAATAAAATACAAGGCTAAATAATTTACATTTGTGTGCTTCCTTTGACTCTGTAACTTTCATTGCAAAAGATAATTGCTATCTTACTGTGACTGTTTTTTATTCCCCCCCCCCCCCTCTTTTCTAAATATCATAATGTTACAATTTTTGGAGCGGTTCTCATATCAACAATGTTTTCATTTCCCTACCAATATCTCAAATTCTAAATAAAACACAACATATCCTGTAGGAAAACAAAAGCTTGTAAGTAGAAATAAGCACAAACTACAAACTGGTGTCTGTATATAGTCAATGTAAATATGAGAACAGCACTATTTTCTACACATTTCAATTTCAAAAATTTCGATTTCATTCAAAAGTTTAATCTTTTGAAATTTTGTTGGTTGATTACAAGATGAAATTCAAATCCAGAAATGAGAAGATTCATATAAACTGGACTTTTCACACCTCAGAGAAACCAAACTTACGTATCATTAGTCACACAGACATTATGTCATAACACTTTACATTGTTAAGATCTACATTTAAACAGTGAAAACAGGATTAGTTGGTCATGATCTTAACACAAGTGCATTAGTACCTGCATCACTCAAAGTACTCGAAATATGTTTTGTATAATGATTATTTTATCATACAATGTGAATAATATAATCAATATATTGTACATTTTTTAACTTTTCCTCCCAATTTTGATAATGTCCAGTAATCATTTTCAAGCAGGCCTCTTTTCTTAGATAAATCAAGATTGTTTTCACACTCTCTTACCCAAGGGAAATAACTCCTGCTTAAAAATGTAACTAGGTCCACTGATGACAGTTCATTCACTTTGAAATTAATTCTGTCCTTTCTCCCTACAAACGCAGACCTCACAACTCTTCTTTTTATCACTCCATTAAATTGACGTCGCTTCTAAATCAAACTGTCACTATGACTTTTCGGGGTCCTGCAAACAGAGAAAATCACTATTATAAAACATCCTTAAACTGTCTCATTCAAAACTTTTATCAGTTATACTTAAAAAATTGTCATGGGGAATTTCAACATGATCTGATGTGTATTCTTTCCTAAATTTAGGTTTTTTGCTTAAATAATTTGAACTGTTTTGTGATTTTTTTTCAACTTCAACTCCAGCAACCAATACCTTTATCGATATAACAAGAGGTCTAGTGGCTCTGACGGTCACCTGAGATAAGCTGAGATATTGAATACAGTAAACCTCTGGTCAGTTCAAATAGGCCCATAGTTCAAACACAAGATTTTTTAATAAAAACAATCGTTTTCTGTCCAGTGATAGTTTGAACCCTCTCCAGTTTGCTTCACTTCCATTTTGAATTGTTCAAACATATCGCTCACATTGATGTTAAACACTGTGAGTAGCAGCTGTACAGGACTATCATAAGCAATTGACAGCATCAGATGATACACATACATGTCACTTAAGATTAAAATGAAACCTGTGATTTCCAAACAGTCGATTAACATGAATCACAGTACAATAAGAGTTTCAAAAGGTAACAATTTTTTAATTGCCCTTCCCTTCCCCTCAGAAACCAGTAGTTTCCTACCTTGAAAGGACACTTTTAAGACACTTTGTCATGAGTTTGGTTAAAGTCGACCCTGACCGTTCAAAGTCTAATTTATTTCAACAAACATAATTTTGTATGAATGGAACAGATTCAGCAATATTTAATCAATTTGTTCAAACTGACCAAAGGTTTACAATATAAAGGTTAAAGGATAAGTAGCTGATAGTTAGTCAGTGTCAATACATACATACCATCAAAACTGTCATCCTATACTAATAATTCTTACAAAGTTATTTCCAGTTTGTGGTTAAGCACCATAACACACTTCCATATTTTAAAGAGCATATGATTCTACAGAATCTAGGTGTTGAGAAGAAGATTTTGGAAGTCTGAATCAATTTGACCCCTTTTGGACCAACCCATCAGCCCCTGGGGGTCAACCAGGATCAATATGTGCATGCCATCAGGCTGTCATCCTTCACTTATTATTCTAACTTAGTTTGAAATGTTTCCAATGAAATTAAACTAATTATGTTCAAAAATCTAGTTTTCCTATACAAACGACAGTAAACTTTACCCCTTCGCCACAGGAAAATGTGAGATCCTAGGGCCATGAAATTCACAATTTTGGTAAAGCACCTTAAGATGGTTCCATCCAGGAAGAGCATTTGATTCTACCATACCTGGGTCTTGAGCACAAGATTTTTTAAATTTTAGTAAATTTGACCCTTTTCTCAGGCCCCTGTTGAGTGGGGACTGTATATTTCATTATGTTGGTTCATCTTAGGCCAGGGAAGGTTTCTGTAAAATTTCAATGAAATCATTTCAGGAGTCCTTGAGCAGAAGTCAAAAATGTTAAATTGTTTATAGACGTACGATGCCGGACAAAGGTGATTGCAACAGGTCACCACGAGAATTTTTCTCAGGTGACTTAAGAATGCGAAAACCACTGAACATTGTACAGCACCTGCAAAGTAAAACAATTCCAAAGTCGTCTCACCTGTTTCAGCTTCATGAGGTTTGTATATTTAAATTCATTGTTACAGTTGGCCATGCCCATCCCTAATCCTACACCAGTGAAGAACAACAATGACCACCTGGTCCCACCTGTTTAAGAAAAAAAAAAGAAGAAAAAATGTAAAAAGTAATCATTTAATGTTTTGGTTTTTTTTTTTTATGCAAGAAATGATAGAATTTGGAAACAGCATGAAGAAAACACTGATATATTACGAAAAATAAAAATCAATTATCTTATAATATTGTAATTAGAAAGGACAGATCTCTGCCTGAAGGAGTACAAGGAGAAAAACACTGTGTCTCAAAAGAGTAAAATATTTGTTTATCATTGACAACATCAGATCTGTAAAATTATGAAATAAAAAAGGAAATGTACAAGTGATTTACTGGCACATACATATAGCCCTTCTTACCTTTAGTTCTTCCAAATTTTGTTAGTGATAATATTCCTCCAATTGTTGCCCCAGATACTGAAGGACAAAAACCACAAAGTAACATAATTTTCATCTACATCTCTGTAAAATGTAAATGTCACATTTGTATAAAATATAGGTAACTTGTATAGAACTAACACAACATCAGAGTAAAATAGACAAGTTGTCTCCATTCATAGCAAAAAGGCTTACATGCAAAACAGGAGAAAAACACTTCAGTGTCAACACTTCTAATCATCCAAAAACTGCAGCAGTGTCTGTCTTCAACCAATCACATTGTAAAATGACTGTATAACTCAGATCAGGTACAGTTGTACATACATTCTCCTTTAAACCATCTGAGTTACATATATATGGTCGCTATACCTAAAGTGACGTTGCCAAGTATTTAATTCTACTACACAGACATAAACATATAAGTAGTCCTTGTATACTATGATTTACACTCAAATCGGGACCTAAAAGTGTATAATGTTTCTGTTATTTATTATTGTGGAAGTGATTATGATTTTCAGGACTGTGATGATTGAGTTTGTCACTAGCACTCCCTCTGGAACTCACTGGATGTATATCTCTCTCTAACCAGTCTCATCAAACTTGTAGAAATAGTGTTGTGGAGTAACCACAAAAAATACCACAAAGAATACTGTATTCTGCTGCTTTTGTTACATGTATGGAAAAACCAAGGAAAATACACATTTCTGTCAAGTGCTCCGGCAAGGAATCGAACTAAGGTCTCTGGCGTGATAACTGACCAGCTCTATCAACTGAGCCAAAGAAGCATGTACTGCCAACTGAAAGACAGATCTAGACTGTGCGTATACACTAACCCGCTTCTACGTAGGTGTAAATATAGACAGAAAATTTCTAAACCGAGAGTCAATAAAAATGTAAATACCAATAACACCATAGTAAATATGAATACTAACATGTCATGAAATTATCATTTTCGAGACAGAAATTTTCGGTCTGGTGTGAATGGACTACAGATATAAATACTACCATCGCCCTTAATATAACAGAGAACGTGGACAATTTCCAACACGAACTCCAATAACTGTCAAGGTAATACGGACGTCATTTTCATCAACGAGGGGCCATTCACAGACACTGAGAATGGCAACATTGCCGCTGGGACATTCACAAACATTCTCTTAGGATTCAGAGTTGTTGTCATATGTAACGGCCTCCCAGATGCAGTTATAATGGTAGCAACAATTACGTTAAAAACATTGAAATTTGCTAGGACAAATTGGGAATCAAATTGCTTTATGCTATCATCATAATTTGGACATGAAGACCGTGTCTATAACCTAGAATCCGTCAAAACAGGTGACCCTGCACGGAACCATGTCAAAATGTTTGTCAGAAAAGTATACATTCCATGAAAAATCAACGTTGTAATGATAGTTAAAAGTAAACGAAAGTCAGGATTCTTACTTGTCTTCAGTGCAACATCCACAATACATTTGTCCCATTTTTCAACAAGGATGTCTTCCGATCTTTTCACCATGTTGAATGTTGAAAGGTTATATTGGGCGCGTTCGTTTGGCAATATCAGACGTTACGGTGAGTTCGATATAAAACTAAACTTTCAAGATTTTTCATAATGTTCAATACATGTAATATGAAAAAGACATCCAGTTAGTGTTTCAAAATCGGATTTAGATATATTTTAGTCCGAGTGCGAACTAGATGCTGGCAATAAAATTTCACTAGTAGTTCGATTGCGAAAAAGTCAGATAAATGTTGTAAGAAAAAAATAGCCGTAGATTAAGAAATATTATCAATACAAGTTACATATCCAAGTCCAAGAAAGCATGTTTTCATTGCTTCATTTCTCCATTTTCAGAGCGAGCCTAGATTTATAAAAACATGCGATCATATAGTAACTGAAATATGTCTCAGTTCGCGTGTTCTAGAGAGGAGATGATTTTCCTGAAGGGTAGATGTTTTGACACTTACAAAAACCACCAAACTTCAGCATGGTTGTATGTATAATCAGAGACATATATACGTCTGTGGTATAATAAACCATTGAAAATTTCAGCACTATCAAAACAAGTAGAGTTTACACTGACAAACTTATTTTCGAAATTTACCGGCATATACGAGTAATCCTTTTTGTGTTGTTGTATAAACGTAATTGAAATCAAATAAAAGAATTCAGAATGCTGTTGTAGACGTTCACTAATATCTATATCACTCATTCGGCTAATTAGGGTGTGTGTGTGTGTGTGTGTGTGTAGGGGCGGGGGTCCTATAAAAAGAAATAAACTTGCTGAACTGGTTTCGCAAAGAACATGTCTATATTGTTATATTTTGCATGTCATTACTATCTAGACTAACTTATTTTAATGTAAACATATTTTATCATCAGCAGCAGATAAATGGATAAGAGACAACTTCTAGAAACTTATGAACTCTTCTCCATACATAAAATTACAAATAATTAATATACTGCACGTGACACATATTTATACTATAATATGTCAATATGAAAGTTGAAGACGTACACTTGTATGTGTAAAAGATCTTGTCAAAAAATGAGAAGATATGATAGAAAGAATAGAAGAGAAAAATATATCAAATAGGCTTTATACCAATTCAGTGCCGACTACAAACATTTCAGAATCAGGTAGCATTAAAACGCTTTGTTTTATAAACGTTTGAACAGATCTAACAATATTACAATTAGTTTCATACGAGTAAAATTCACTGTCGCCGCATGAAATAGTTTCTATATGAACATCTACGTCTAAAGCATACAAAGTATCAAACAATACAGTTCTGTAATTAGAAAGTAATGAACATGTAAGGAAATAATGACTTACGTCTTCAATACCCTCACCACAGGGACAATTCGGGGGTTGACAAATACCTACCCTATATAAATCTGAACTGAAGCCACTACAGTAATGTCTAATGCGGTCATGTATAACAGTGAGGTATCGACTATTACAGTGTCAATAATCATGAACTGAAGAGTGTATGCGGGATAGTTTGGTTCTAAATGTTTTAGTGATACAGCCGATTTAGTAGAATTGTCTAAATTATTTCACAAATTTATAGACGACGGAACAAAAGACTTGTTCATAATATCCAGACGACTTCGAGGGACTTGATAGTTTTGTTATGTATTTTGTAGAATGTGGTAAGTTTTATTCCTCTCTTCTATGTTTGAGTGGATTCCAACCTGTTTAAGTATATAAAGAGTCACGAGAAGCAATGAATGTGAGGCCAGTGACAATTCTAGCTGCTTCTAACTGAACATTTTCTAGGGAGTCGGACAAGTGTTCCGAACATCCATCCAAAACACACAAGGCATATTCAAACACAGGTCGTATAAATGATACATATATAGTATTGAGATTAAGAAGATTTGGTCAAATGGTTTATGTGACCTCCCCATTTGCAATTATTATTAAGACTTACTTCTAAATGACGATGTGAGTCGTTGAATCCAATCGGCTGACCTTTGCATACCAAATTTGGCTTGACTGTGATGTGTTTAGATGAGAAGACAACTGTTCCAATCTTTGCAGGATTGAACTGCATAACCCATTGGCAAGACCAAGTTTGAAGACGGTGCGAATTCTCATTAATTGTTTGCTCGATTTCATTTAAATTGGCAGACGATTTTTGAAGAGAGGAATCGTCGTCAAAAAGTCTGACAGAGATTTGCATGGGATCAGCTAAGTTATTGATATAAAACAGGAACAGCAGGGTCCCAAGTACAGAACCCCGGGAAAACCATGCCCTGCTGTGATATAATTAAAAGAAGAAACGTTATTTCCACACAAAACAGATTGTTGTCCGTTTCTTAAATATTTTTCCAACCAGGATAGTAGCCTTCCTTCAGTTACATACTGACGAACTTTCAACAAAAGACCTTTATGCCAGACTTTGTCAAAAGCTTTTTACAAGTCACAATAAAAAACAAGAACAAGACTATTCATTATTAAGAACAGCAGAGACAATATTATGATACAGTTCTATTAACTGGTAGACTGTGGAGTGACCTGGAAGGAATTCAAATTGATACTTATAAAAAAATATTATTATGTCTAGCAAAGTTAACAATATGCTTAAACACGCATCTTTCCATAACTTAGACAGACAACTTGATAAAGAAATTGGTCTACAGTAAGGAATATGAGCATCTCCCTTTTGTAAAAATGGTAAAACATGAGTTTTTTTCCATTTCGATGGGAAAACAGCATCTCTGATAGATCAGTTAAACAACGTAGTAAGAGGCTTACAAATTGTCCTGGCTGTTGCTTTCAGCATACAATGGTCAATCTTGTCTGGACAGTCTTTCCTGTGTCAAGAATGGATAAAATACCAAAACCTTTTTTTCGTGTATGACAAAGCTAGAAAGAGAGTTTGTTCATTTTCTGAGAGTTTGGTAACATGACATAAGAATTGTTAGTAGATGAAAAAGACGCGGTCACTTTATGGCACTTTTGGAAAGCCATCAATAATGTATTCTAAAGGAGGAACAGAACTAGCAGGAGGCGAGAAAAAAATTCGGTTAAGAATTTGCCAGAAAGCACAAGAATTTCATGTTTCGATGTATAAACATGTGATTCGAATTAATAAAGAAATCAGTCTTAGCTTTCTCTTTTTATATTATTTACCCTATCTCTGAAACTCTTGTATGCTGACCAATGTTCAGGGCGCTTGGACGGTAGGAGTTCACTTTTTGTTTAAGTCTGTCACGTATACGACAGTGTCTACGTAAAACCATATCAAACCAAGGTTTGTCAGAGGGACGAATGGTCACTGTGGAGTTTGGATTATAAGTACTAGCTACTTCACTACTTTGTAGTAAAATTTACAACTGCACGATCAATAGAAGGTGCATTACAAATGAGTTCTTCCCAATCTATTGTCGCTAGTAAATCGTTAAAACCTGAATAATCTGCCCTGTTATAGGTCCAGACATGACTTACATATGATGTTTCGCAATTATACGAGAAGGATAAATTCAAAGCAGTTGGTCACTGATTAAGTCATCTAATCTTTCAATACCTCCTCACCAAACAATTACTTTCGGAATTGTTTTCCTTCTGGCTTCCATTTATCCTTAACTGATTGCTTCCCTCTACTGTATCTTATTCTAAATTTGAATTGATGCCATTTTTCATTCCTTTGTCAAAGAAAATCCTTGAGTCCCGGTTGCCTTGGTATCTCTTTGCTGTACCTTGAAACGGAAGTGCATTAATCCCAGATTTCCAGGTCGGTTCTACGTTTGATGTAATCGATTGTTGGTTGTTATACGTCTCCGTTCAAGCATAAAATCTACAACGTTATTAAGGGCGTTCGCACTGTGACAGGCTTGCATGCATGTCCATACACAAGATACAACTCAAGTATGTTTTATCAGAAAAAGATCTGTTTGATTGGTTCGATTGTGTTTCTGTGTTTTGTGGCGATAGAAATAAGTTTTACTGGATATTATAAAACACTATATGTAAACGATAGAGTGTCATATCCAGAGATGTTGCCTCACCAGGATTTTGATGTAACAGGTATACATTCTATAAAACTAGAAAACCAGTTTGTCAAATCTGATGCAAAGTTTGATTTTGAACGACTGCAGAAAAAGTTCAAAAATAAGACGTGCAAGTTAAGAACCCTGAGTGTTATGGCGGCAAAATCGAGTTCTCGTACAGCTCTTCTGAGTTTTCCTGCGTCAGGAAATACCTGGACGAGACATCTCATCCAACAGATCACAGGTACATAGATCTTCAGCTTAAAAATACCGAACTTAGTTCATCAGCTTACAGGTAGAGTGCTTAGTTCATCAGCTCACAGGTATAGTACTTAGTTCATCAGCTCACAGGTAGAGTACTTAGTTCATCAGCTCACAGGTATAGTACTTAGTTCATCAGCTTACAGGTATAGTACTTAGTTCATCAGCTCACAGGTATAGTACTTGGTTCATCAGCTTACAGGTAGTGTACTTAGTTCATCAGCTCACAGGTATAGTACTTACTTCATCACCTCACAGGTAGAGTACTTAATTCATCAGCTCACAGGTATAGTACTTAGTTCATCAGCTCACAGGTATAGTACTTAGTTCATCAGCTCACAGGTATAGTACTTAGTTCATCAGCTTACAGGTAGAGTACTTAGTTCATCAGCTTACAGTTATAGTACTTAGTTCATCAGCTTACAGGTAGAGTACTTAGTTCATCAGCTCACAGGTATAGTACTTAGTTCATCAGCTCACAGGTAGAGTACTTAGTTCATCAGCTCACAGGTATAGTACTTGGTTCATCAGCTCACAGGTATAGTACTTGGTTCATCAGCTTACAGGTAGAGTACTTAGTTTATCAGCTCACAGGTAGAGTACTTAGTTTATCAGCTCACAGGTATAGTACATAGTTCATCAGCTTCACAGGTAGAGTACTTAGTTCATCAGCTCACAGGTATAGTACATAGTTCATCAGCTCACAGGTAGAGTACTTAAGTTAATCTCATATTAGTTTTACTATAAAAATGGTAAACAATGTAAACAAATAATTAAGCAATCTCATAAGCAGGTTTATCTCTAAATGTCTTTTTCTACATTTTGCATTTGTAGTATGTTGAAAAAATAAAAGGAAAGATTGTCAGCATCGACAGCACATGTTTTAAAATATCTGTAACAAACTATCGTTAATTTGTCTTTTATACAACACAACATTGTTTCTGTCACCAAGTATGTGGTTATATCTGTAACAAAGATATCGTTTATTTGTTTTTATACAACACAACATTGTTTCTGTCACCAAGTATGTTGTAATATCTGTAACAAACTATCGTTAATTTGTCTTTTATACAACATAACATTGTTTCTGTCACCAAGTATGTGGTAATATCTGTAACAAACTATCGTTAATTTGTCTTTTATACAACACAACATTGTTTCTGTCACCAAGTATGTTGTAATATCTGTAACAAACTATCGTTAATTTGTCTTTTATACAACACAACATTGTTTCTGTCTCCAAGTATGTTGTAATATCTGTAACAAACTATCGTTAATTTGTCTTTTATACAACACAACATTGTTTCTATCATCAAGTGTATGGTAATATCTGTAACAAACTATCGTTAATTTGTCTTTTATACAGCACAACATTGTTTCTATCATCAAGTGTATGGTAATATCTGTTACAAAATTATCGTTTATTTGTTTTTATACAGCACAACATTGTTTCTGTCTCCAAGTATGTTGTAATATCTGTAACAAACTATCGTTAATTTGTCTTTTATACAACATAACATTGTTTCTGTCACCAAGTATGTTGTAAAGTCTGTTACAAAACTATCGTCTATCATCAAGTGTATGGTAATATCTGTTACAAAATGTATGTTTTTATACAACATAACATTGTTTCTGTCACCAAGTATGTTGTAAAGTCTGTTACAAAACTATCGTTTATGTTGTAAAGTCTGTAACAAAACTAACGTTTATGTTGTAAAGTCTGTTACAAAACTATCGTTTATGTTGTAAAGTCTGTTACAAAACTATCGTTTATTGTGAGACTTTTATACAATTTTCCATGTGTCCTTACCTGTGCAGATATTTTAACAAACAATCATAAATTTATTGTTCCGCTTTATTCTACAGTCTCTGAACGTCAGACAATTGTTTGATGTACAAGTAAGAATTCGCCAACTTCCATTTAATCATGTATTTAACATCTCTAACGAAAACGTGCTTTCAGTATCTCCGTTAATATTCACCATTTATAACAGACATGTGGTTCAATATCCAGAAATTCTGATGTCTCTATAAAAAGGTATCGTAATATCTACTGTTTTTTTCTTCTTTACGGTTGCGAAAGATTGGAATTTTTCTTCAGACCATATAAATAATAAAAAAATTAAGTTAAGAAAAAAGGTTAAAACTGAGTAATAAGTAATATCCTTATTGTTGTAAATAGCATACCTAAAAGTCCATTGGTGACTTTGGAAACAATGAAATACCCCAAACATAATGAAACTTTACAAAACATAGGATTTCAAAATGGTAAAGTATTATCCACGAAAATCGTATAGATACATTTAATACACAAATAAAATTTATTTTCCCAGTGCAATATTGCCAACAACAAGCTTGTTGCATGACTCGGGTCATTAACATGTCACTATATTACAGTTAGTGTACTGTAGCTTTTAGATTTCTACTCTCCAACTTTAGGTACCTCCTTTTTTTGTCTTCAGTTATCATATCAATTTATGCCCATAATTTATCCTTTTTTACTAGTTTACGTAAATGTGTTTGTGATTTCAGAGTGGACGATGCACGTGGACGAAAAACTTCTATTGTGGAGAGATAGTTACATATTCTGGTTAAAGTACTTCAAACGGGATTCTATGATTCTTGTGTATGAGAGTCTGAAGGAAGACCTTGTGCATGAACTGTTGAGAATTGTTCGGTTCCTTGACATACATGTGGAGCCGAAGGACATGTGGTGTACATTAGTCAACAAGGAAGGGAATGCCCACCGAATTGCCCGGAAACAGACGGAGCCAAGCATCTTCAGTCTCTTTACTGCAAAACAAAAGGAAATAGTTATCAAATCTATCTGCCAAGTGTCAAACGTTGCCAGAGATTTGGGCATCAATTTGAACATTTCTCAATACCTTGCAAACTTGACGGAAACGCCAAGTACGGAGTGTTTTTGAGATAAATAATTCAGCCATATTCGCCTTGGTAAAGTCATTTATAAGTGAGATGTTTTCTAAAGCAAATCTGAAGAATATAAAGTCAAAGTTACGACAAGATCCAGAAAAATAGAAATCCCTACATTTACATGTGATATTTCATAAAACATTTAGAAAACTAATGACAATCGAAAAGTCATTCTAAAATTGTATTAAAAGGCGCTATTCACTGGTGTGTCTTTTGTACAATCTTTGAAGCTTAAAATGTAGGTGGCACCACTTGGGTGTCAACAACAACGCATCTGACAACGAAATAGTCTAACGAGCAAATGTTTCAAGATATGTTTTCATCTACATTTTATAAATAAACCAGTGTTAACATAACGTGATTTTGGTGAATGTTTGGTTATGAATATTGCTATGGGCGGTAATGGTGAATGTTTGTGTATGAATATTGCTATGGGCGCTAATGGTGAATGTTTGTGTATGAATATTGCTATGGGCGGTAATGGTGAATGTTTATGTATGAATATTGCTATGGGCGGTAATGGTGAATATTTGGCTATGAATATTGCTATGGGCGGTAATGGTGAATGTTTATGTATGAATATTGCTATGGGCGGTAATGGTGAATGTTTGGTTATGAATATTGCTATGGGCGGTAATGGTGAATGTTTGTGTATGAATATTGCTATGGGCGGTAATGGTGAATGTTTGTGTATGAAGATTGCCATGGGCGGTAATGGTGAATGTTTGGTTATGAATATTGCTATGGGCGGTAATAGTGAATGTTTGGTTATGAATATTGCTATGGGCGGTAATGGTGAATGTTTGTGTATGAAGATTGCTATGGGCGGTAATGGTGAATGTTTATGTATGAATATTGCTATGGGCGGTAATAGTGAATGTTTGGTTATGAATATTGCTATGGGCGGTAATGGTGAATGTTTGTGTATGAAGATTGCTATGGGCGGTAATGGTGAATGTTTGGGGTAATGGTGAATGTTTGGTTATGAATATTTATGGGCGGTAATGAATATTGCTATGGGCGGTAATGGTGAATGTATGTTTGTATATTGCTATGTGAATGTGAATGTGTATTGCTATGGGCGGTAATGGTGTATGAATATTGCTATGGGCGGTAATAGTGAATGTTTGGTTATGAAGATTGCTATGGGCGGTAATGGTGAATGTTTGTGTATGAATATTGCTATGGGCGGTAATGGTGAATGTTTGTGTATGAAGATTGCTATGGGCGGTAATGGTGAATGTTTATGTATGAATATTGCTATGGGCGGTAATGGTGAATGTTTGTGTATGAAGATTTTGGCGGTAATGTTATGAATATTGCTATGAATGTTTGTGTATGAAGATTGCTATGGGCGGTTTGTGTATGAATATTGCTTGTGTATGAATATTGCTATGGGCGGTAATAGTGAATGTTTGGTTATGAATATTGCTATGGGCGGTAATGGTGAATGTTTGTGTATGGAGATTGCTATGGGCGGTAATAGTGAATGTTTGGCTATGAATATTGCTATGGGCGGTAATGGTGAATGTTTGTGTATGAAGATTGCTATGGGCGGTAATGGTGAATGTTTGGTTATGAATATTGCTATGGGCGGTAATGGTGAATGTTTGGTTATGAATATTGCTATGGGCGCTAATGGTAATGGTGAATGTTTGAATGTTAATGGTGAATGTTTGGTTATATTGCTATGGGCGGTAATGGTGAATGTTTGTGTATGAATATTGCTATGGGCGGTAATGGTGAATGTTTGTGTATGAAGATTGCTATGGGCGGTAATGGTGAATGTTTGTGTATGAAGATTGCTATGGGCGGTAATGGTGAATGTTTGTGTATGAATATTGCTATGGGCGGTAATGGTGAATGTTTGTGTATGAAGATTGCTATGGGCGGTAATGGTGAATGTTTGTGTATGAATATTGCTATGGGCGGTAATGGTGAATGTTTGTGTATGAATATTGCTATGGGCGGTAATGGTGAATGTTTGTGTATGAAGATTGCTATGGGCGGTAATGGTGAATGTTTGTGTATGAATATTGCTATGGGCGGTAATGGTGAATGTTTGTGTATGAATATTGCTATGGGCTATGGGCGGTAATGGTGAATGTTTGTGTATGAAGATTGCTATGGGCGGTAATGGTGAATGTTTGTGTATGAATATTGCTATGGGCGCTAATGGTGAATGTTTATGTATGAAGATTGCTATGGGCGGTAATGGTGAATGTTTATGTATGAATATTGCTATGGGCGGTAATGGTGAATGTTTATGTATGAAGATTGCTATGGGCGGTAATGGTGAATGTTTGGTTATGAAGATTGCTATGGGCGGTAATGGTGAATGTTTGGTTATGAAGATTGCTATGGGCGGTAATGGTGAATGTTTATGTATGAAGATTGCTATGGGCGCTAATGGTGAATGTTTATGTATGAAGATTGCTATGGGCGGTAATGGTGGTTGAATGTTTATGTATGAATATTGCTATGGGCGGTAATGGTGAATGTTTGTGTATGAATATTGCTATGGGCGGTAATGGTGAATGTTTGTGTATGAAGATTGCTATGGGCGGTAATGGTGAATGTTTGTGTATGAATATTGCTATGGGCGCTAATGGTGAATGTTTGTGTATGAAGATTGCTATGGGCGGTAATGGTGAATGTTTATGTATGAATATTGCTATGGGCGGTAATGGTGAATGTTTATGTATGAAGATTGCTATGGGCGGTAATGGTGAATGTTTGTGTATGAAGATTGCTATGGGCGCTAATGGTGAATGTTTATGTATGAAGATAACCGGAATGACGTAAGTAAGTAATGAAGAAATTTACAGTCGATAATCGACATTGTTTGGTTATGATATACCAACAGGCGTGAATGGTTATAAACTCATCTACATTTGATAGCCGTAATGTTGGATTATGAAGGCATCTATAATCGATAATATGTAATGTAAGATTACAGACACATATAGTCGATAAGTATTCTAGTGCTATACTCATAAAATTCTCTTTCCAACATTTCATTTTGTTTGGCAATAACAATGACAGATTTATTTGCACTTCTCGAGTCTCTAGAAGGACGAAACAGATGTTTGTTACAGTTTAATTCCATATATGACTATGTTAAAAGGTGACATTTACTTGTGTCTCTTTGTGAAATCTTTTGACGGGTGTTGCAGTTATTATTCGAGGTCTGTGGGTGTTTTATTTGTTTTGTATTGTTATTTCAATTCACGTATCTAATGACATCATAATGTCTGTTTAAAAGCAAAAATCCGAGAAAATGAAATATGAATATATATTAATCAACATGGAAATATGTTTTATTTCATGTCAAGACATTTATTTTCTCATATGAACTTGAATAGAAATGAGAAAATAACAGAAGTCACGCTACAGATCAATGGATGACGGAGATTATTATCGAATTTTCGAGGTAAATATATCTACACATTAACGTCACAATGGCGATACCTTATGTTCAGTCATATGATGGAGAAAGTTGTTTGGATAACCCAAACATAAAACTCGATTTAAATGTATGTTTGTTAAAATAAGCGTAAGAGATGTTAATATGAGTCAGAAATGGAAAGTCTCGCAATTATTATCTCACAGGACTTCAATGTTTCGGTCGTAATATCGATATCTTGAACTTTATATATATATATATTTAAACGATCGTGATGGGAAATCAATATTGAAAAGTTAGAAAAATGTATCAAACATCTTCATCTTATAACACAACCAATAGAAGATTAGAATGTGACGATTCGATGACTACACGGTCACCTTATCTTAGAATAACACAACCAGTAGAAGATTAGAGTGTGACGTTTCGATGACTACATGGTCACCTTATCTCATAATACAACCAGTAAAATATTAGAGTGTGACGTTTCGATAACTACACTGTCACCTTCATCTTATAACATAACCAGTAGAAGATTAGAGTGTGACGTTTCGATAACTACACTGTCACCTTCATCTTATAACATAACCAGTAAAATATTACAAGTGTGTAATCTTATAACCACGTAGAATGTGATGTTTTGATGACTACACGGTCACCTTCATCTTATAACACAACCAGTAGAAGATTAGAGTGTGACGTTTCGATGATTACACGGTCACCTACATCTTATAACACAACCAGTAGAAGATTAGAGTGTGACGTTTCGATAACTACACTGTCACCTTCATCTTATAACACAACCAGTAGAAGATTAGAGTGTGCCGTTTCGATGACTACACGGTTAGCTTCATCTTATAACATAACCAGTAGAATATTTAAGTGTGACGTTTCGCTGACTATACGGTCACCTTCATCTTATAACATTACCAGTAGAAGATTAGAGTGTGACGTTTCGCTGACTACACGGTCACCTTCATCATATAACATTACCAGTAGAAGATTAGAGTGTGACGTTTCGCTGACTACACGGTCACCTTCATCTTATAACACAACCAGTAGGAAATTAGAGTGTGACGTGTCGATGACTGCATTTGTCTGATGAGGGTGACCGTGTTGATATCGGACACTACGTACGTCAGTGTCAGTACGGTCCACGCTGGTCATTTGTCTGATGAAGGTGACCCTGTAGATCTCGTACAATACGTAAGTCAGTGATAATACGCCCCACACTGGTCATTTGTCTGATGAAGGTGACCCTGTAGATCTCGTACAATACGTACATCAGTGATAGTACGCCCCACACTGGTCATTTGTCTGATGAAGGTGACCCTGTAGATCTCGTACAATACGTACATCAGTGATAGTACGCCCCACACTGGTCATTTGTCTGATGAAGGGGCTGTTATAAGAACTTCTATTCTATTGACATTACCAACCTGAAGGAACAGTGACTATTCCGTGATAAATTCCTTGATCACACTGTAAGTAACTATATGTCGGTTGGAGTATGACGATCTATCAGAAACTATGATATAATACTTATAAACCGGTTCAATGTTTGAGACCCCTTTCTCTGTTTTGAATGGTTGATCATACACTTTCATCAAGTACAACAATGGATCGTTTTTTTTTTTTTTTTGTTTTTTTTTGTTGCTTTTTTTTTCTTTGAAGGAATATAAACATTTAAGACTGCAACGAAATAAAGCTGGCATCCTCCAGTGCTAAGCAATATTTTGCGGATAGTATTTACCAGGATTACAGCACGTTGACACTCTTCACGGTCAGTTTAGTAAATAAAGCAGTAACAAAGTCTGGAGCAAGACACTGATACACATTAAGCTATAATACAGTTTACTTCATACTTAAAACTAATTACCTGTCGTGGCGCCTGGAAAACAACCCTTCATATATATATGTTTTGTCTTTTAGTTTTATTGGTCTAATGTTATCGGTTTGTTATACAGGATTAGAGGATACATTTTCAGTAAAAGTCTTAAAATCGACAAAAGAATTAGATCAGATGTTCAGGAAGGTCATGACTTCTCCGTTCTCCATCAACGGCATCCCTTTGTAAAGCTAGGCCAATCAGAGTAACAAAACGCCTACAAAGCTATACTATAGAACTACTAGACAATATCGAAATTAATATTACACAAAGGTTTGATCGTGGTAGCAGAAATAAAGATTTTATATAACCGTTATACAGCAGCATTCCTCCAAATCCGGAGTTGTCAGTTGTCAACATCTACCCAATGTATAGTCATATCCTGAATAGACTCGGTCGGGACATGTAAACACTTTGAAAAGTAGAATAGCGATGTTACTTTAAATAGAACATTTTAAAACAAGGATATTGTAATCATGATGCTTATCAGCATCCGCTGATGTAAAGGGCAGGTCTTATCCTTGATTTCCAATTCCTTTGAGACAAGTATGAAAATAAAATCTCAGCCAAGAGAGGCGCGATGGTACTTTCACTTTCACTACACAGCGACGATTGTCCGTTTAAACTTTTATATTAATTTAATCGGCTTTACTTTAACAACACTCAATCATTCTAACCAAACAAGACCAAAGTTTAGGTTTTACTTTAAAACGTATTTCACATAAAAAAAGACACTGGCTGTTATCGATGATTTAAAGCTGTAAATTTGGACCAACCGATGGAGAGGGCGTAGTGGACGTGGATGACAAGCGAGCTGCATTAGACCATTCTAACTTCGATGTAAATAGCTCAAAATTTCTTTGCTATGTGTTTGTAACATATCAAAACAAAGGTGTAGTGCATTTACTGATACCTAATACAATAGAGGAAGTAAAATAGAACACGTCTGTATATACCTGTTTAGTCGTTATGGTTGATGTGTGTATCTCGTTATCATGGGCGGCAGATAACAAAGAACATACTTTTATCTATATATTTGTATCATTCTACAGTGTCAGAGATATCCTACCATATCTGGGTAGAGTATGTTGTTATATAGAGAATGACGAAATAATCAACAGGATCCATGTTAGTTCAGCCCTGACTGCCTGATTCTGTCATTCCCTCTACATTGTCTTCAAAGTAGATTCCTGTCCCGTCTGTGTTTAGGAGCCACGAATACAAGAACATGGTGAAAACAGCAGTTATGAGTCTGGTACCGCTGGTATTAGGCTTTGTAACAGGTATGTAAAGACGACGTATCAGCCTGACAAATTCGAAGATATATCATCCCGTTTCATTCTTATTTACCAATTTTTTTCTTCCAGGACACCAAATCATCCCCGTTTTTCAAGGGGTCTCCATGGAAACCTTTCTTTTGCTCGTGTTCTAATCTGGTCTCATCGATTTTGAGTTTGGAGTTGGTGATTTTGTTTTCTTGGCGCTTGTTTGGTAGTTTGAGTTTAGGTAATATTCTATTGAAACAAAGCTGAAAAGCACGACGTTCTAAGATAGCAGTGACCCACGCTGACCTCATTTATTTGCTTGGGATTCAATGTTTTTAATCTAATGACGTAATCATTACAACTGATGAGTGATGTGTCTACATGTAAAGAGGATGCAATGTCGTGACAGATCCACGATGTCTACGATACGACAAAACAAACCTTATGTTTCTATTTTGCTCCCAGTGTACGGTAGCCTGGTGGATGACCTCAGGGATTGTCTCCCCTTCTTACCGCGGACACAGTACGTGAAGTCCTATAACGACGTTTGTTTGTTCTTACTGAAGAGAAAACTGACATGGAACGACGCCCAATCCAACTGCAGCTCTGGTGGAGGTCGTCTGGTGCAGATTCAGTATCAAGCCAAACAAGATTTCCTCTATAACACACTGACGGCGATGAAATGGACAGACTGGGGTGTATGGATTGGGGCTACTGACCACGACAGTGAAGGGACATGGAAATGGACAGACGGTATACCTGTTTCTTCATTCCTAGAACTAGTTCTGGTTCTAAACAATTATCATTTCACTTTAGCTGTATAATTCATTATACTAAATCAAACAACATAGAGAATTTTGTCTCATCCTACTACAGTTCTTTAACTAAATAAATAGAGGTGTCATTATTGTTTGGACAGAGTAAAATCTTCTTAACATTGCCCGTATAGCTATTTCTGTTCGATCGTATGGTCATGATTTCATTTCATTTTGCGGTGAAACATTGGACGTGTTTGATGCTCGTATGTATACCTGGTGGTTCACTTGTGTGATGTAAAGTTGGTCGTAAGTATACCTGGTGGTTCACTTGTGTGATGTAAAGTTGGTCGTAAGTATACCTGGTGGTTCACTTGTGTGATGTATTGTTGGTGGTAAGTATACCTGGTGGTTCACTTGTGTGATGTAAAGTTGGACGTATTTGATACTCGTAAGTATACCTGGTGGTTCACTTGTGTGATGTTAAGTTGGTCGTAAGTATGCCTGGTGGTTCACTTGTGTGTTGTAAAGTTGGACGTATTTGATACTCGTAAGTATACCTGGTGGTTCACTTGTGTGATGTAAAATTGGACGTGTTTGATGCTCGTAAGTATACCTGGTGGTTTACTTGTGAGATGTAAAGTTGGTGGTAAGTATACCTGGTGGTTCACTTGTGTGATGTAAAGTTGGTGGTAAGTATACCTGGTGGTTCACTTGTGTGATGTAAAGTTGGTGGTAAGTATACCTGGTGGTTCACTTGTGTGATGTAAAGTTGGTGGTAAGTATACCTGGTGGTTCACTTGTGTGATGTAAAGTTGGTGGTAAGTATACCTGGTGGTTCACTTGTGTGATGTAAAGTTGGTGGTAAGTATACCTGGTGGTTCACTTGTGAGATGTAAAGTTGGTGGTAAGTATGACTGGTGGTTCACTTGTATGATGTAAAGTTGGTCGTAAGTATGGCTGGTGGTTCACTTGTATGATGTAGAGTTGGTCGTAAGTATGGCTGGTGGTTCACTTGTTTGATGTAAAGTTGGTCGTAAGTATACCTGGTGGTTCACTTGTGTGATTTAAAGTTGGTTGTATTTGATACTCGTAAGCATGCTTGGTGGTTCACTTGTGTGATGTAAAGTTGGTGGTAAGTATACCTGGTGGTTCACTTGTGAGATGTAAAGTTGGTGGTAAGTATGACTGGTGGTTCACTTGTGTGATGTAAAGTTGGTGGTAAGTATACCTGGTGGTTCACTTGTGTGATGTAAAGTTGGTGGTAAGTATACCTGGTGGTTCACTTGTGTGATGTAAAGTTGGTGGTAAGTATACCTGGTGGTTCACTTGTGTGATGTAAAGTTGGTGGTAAGTATACCTGGTGGTTCACTTGTGTGATGTAAAGTTGGTGGTAAGTATACCTGGTGGTTCACTTGTGAGATGTAAAGTTGGTGGTAAGTATGACTGGTGGTTCACTTGTATGATGTAAAGTTGGTCGTAAGTATGGCTGGTGGTTCACTTGTATGATGTAGAGTTGGTCGTAAGTATGGCTGGTGGTTCACTTGTTTGATGTAAAGTTGGTCGTAAGTATACCTGGTGGTTCACTTGTGTGATTTAAAGTTGGTTGTATTTGATACTCGTAAGCATGCTTGGTGGTTCACTTGTGTGATGTAAAGTTGGTGGTAAGTATACCTGGTGGTTCACTTGTGTGATGTAAAGTTGGTCGTAATTGTGTCTGGTGGTTCACTTGTGTGATGTAAAGTTGGACGTAAGTATGGCTGGTGGTTCACTTGTGTGATGTAAAGTTGGACGTAAGTATACCTGGTGGTTCACTTGTGAGATGTAAAGTTGGTGGTAAGTATACCTGGTGGTTCACTTGTGTGATGTAAAGTTGGTCGTGTGTCTGGTGGTTCACTTGTGTGATGTAAAGTTGGACGTGTTTGATGCTCGGAAGTATGGCTGGTGGTTCACTTGTGTGATGTAAAGTTGGACGTATGTCTGGTGGTTCACTTGTGTGATGTAAAGTTGGACGTAAGTGTGTCTGGTGGTTCACTTGTGTGATGTAAAGTTGGACGTAAGTATGTCTGGTGGTTCACTTGTATGATGTTAAGTTGGACGTGTTTGATGCTCGTAGGTATGTCTGGTGGTTGACTTGCTGTTTTCCGTGTTTTCCGTCGGAACCTGTTTTTTCATGGTGGGTGTCTTCGATGAAGCAGAACGTGATCTTATTCTCCTTTTACTCTTCATTGGAAAATTTCTTTAGCCTATATTGCTATCGTTTAATTGAATTTTAGTTGGGTATAAATATATTGTTATTTCCGCGAAGGTTTTGTCCCTTCTCATGTAGAAAATACCACGATACCTGACCCACTTATTTCTTTCGTTCTTTACACCACTCTCTGTCGCTTTCGTATTAATGTGTAAAATACCAAGAAATTATTACAAAAATGCTAGATTAGTTCTGGTGTTTGTGTTCGTATTTTACTGAGAAAAGAAAGTGACTATGCCCCAATTCATTTCACGTTACGACTACAGGTCTTTCCAATGATATCAAGATTATTGTTTTTTGTGCGCCACCACCCTCACCCCCACCCCCACCCTCACCCCCACCAAAAAACAACGTGACGTGGTTTACATTTTCTCCAATACCATTTGTTTGCACTTCATATTTAGAATTGTTCTAAAGCATGCTGTTTTTAACTAACGTGAATTTAACTACATGTTCTTTTTGTGCTTAGGGGTTCATTTAAAACTTTTATACAAAACAGGTACAAATCTGACCTACGGATTCTGGCATCCAGGTGAAGGTCCGGCTCATGGTTTCCTCTTTTCTAAGGCAGGATTTGAGGACTGTGCCCTGATGAGACTCGATGACAGTGGGAGATGGCGAGACTACGACTGTGGAAGTATCCTTCATCATCACACATCAGTATGTGAGTACCGTAAGTATTCTGTATCATCACACATCTGTGTGTGAGTACGTAAGTATTCTGTATCATCACACATCTGTGTGTGAGTACAGTAAGTATCCTTCATCATCACATATCAGTATGTGGGTACCGTAAGTATCCTTCATCATTACACATCAGTATGTGAGTACCGTAAGTATCCTTCATCATCACACATCAGTATGTGAGTACCGTAAAAATTCTGTATCATCACACATCTGTGTGTGAGTACAGTAAGTATTCTTCATCATCACACATCAGTATGTGAATACCGTAAGTATTCTGTATCTTCACACATCAGTATGTGGGTACAGTAAGTATCCTTCATCATCACACATCAGTATGTGAATACCGTAAGTATTCTGTATCATCACACATCAGTATGTGAGTACCGTAAGTATTCTGTATCATCACACATCTGTGTGTGAGTACAGTAAGTATTCTTCATCATCACACATCAGTATGTGAGTACCGTAAGTATCCTTCATCATCACACATCAGTATGTGAGTACAGTAAGTATCCTTCATCATCACACATCAGTATGTGAGTACCGTAAGTATTCTGTATCATCACACATCTGTGTGTGAGTACCGTAAGTATCCTTCATCATCACACATCAGTATGTGAGTACAGTAAGTATCCTTCATCATCACACATCAGTATGTGAGTACCGTAGTATTCTGTATCATTCTGTATCATCACACATCTGTGTGTGAGTACAGTAAGTATCCTTCATCATCACACATCAGTATGTGAGTACAGTAAGTATCCTTCATCATCACACATCAGTATGTGAGTACCGTAAGTATTCTGTATCATCACACATCTGTGTGTGAGTACAGTAAGTATCCTTCATCATCACACATCAGTATGTGAGTACAGTAAGTATCCTTCATCATCACACATCAGTATGTGAGTACCGTAAGTATTCTGTATCATCACACATCTGTGTGTGAGTACAGTAAGTATTCTTCATCATCACACATCTGTGTGTGAGTACAGTAAGTATCCTTCATCATCACACATCAGTATGTGAGTACAGTAAGTATCCTTCATCATCACACATCAGTATGTGAGTACCGTAAGTATTCTGTATCATCACACATCTGTGTGTGAGTACCGTAAGTATTCTGTATCATCACACATCAGTATGTGAATACCGTAAGTATCCTTCATCATCACACATCAGTATGTGAGTACAGTAAGTATCCTCCATCATCACACATCAGTATGTGAGTACCGTAAGTATTCTGTATCATCACACATCTGTGTGTGAGTACAGTAAGTATCCTTCATCATCACACATCAGTATGTGAGTACAGTAAGTATCCTTCATCATTACACATCAGTATGTGAGTACCGTAAGTATTCTGCATCATCACACATCAGTATGTGAGTACCGTAAGTATTCTGTATCATCACACATCAGTATGTGAGTACCGTAAGTATTCTGTATCATCACACATCTGTGTGTGAGTACAGTAAGTATCCTTCATCATCACACATCAGTATGTGAGTACAGTAAGTATCCTTCCTCATTACACATCAGTATGTGAGTACCGTAAGTATTCTGTATCATCACACATCAGTATGTGGGTACCGTAAGTATCCTTCATCATCACACATCAGTATGTGAGTACAGTAAGTATCCTTCATCATCACACATCAGTATGTGAGTACCGTAAGTATTCTGTATCATCACACATCAGTATGTGGGTACCGTAAGTAACCTTCATCATCACACATCAGTATGTGAATACCGTAAGTATTCTGTATCATCACACATCAGTATGTGAGTACCGTAAGTATCCTTCATCATCACACATCAGTATGTGGGTACCGTAAGTATCCTTCATCATCACACATCAGTATGTGAGTACAGTAAGTATACTTCATCATCACACATCAGTATGTGAGTACCGTAAGTATCCTTCATCATCACACATCAGTATGTGAATACCGTAAGTATTCTGCATCATCACACATCAGTATGTGAGTACCGTAAGCATTCTGTATCATCACACATCTGTGTGTGAGTACAGTAAGTATCCTTCATCATCACACATCAGTATGTGAGTACCGTAAGTATTCTGTATCTTCACACATCTGTGTGTGAGTACAGTAAGTATCCTTCATCATCACACATCAGTATGTGAGTACCGTAAGTATCCTTATCATCACACATCAGTATGTGGGTACCGTAAGTATCCTTCATCATCACACATCAGTATGTGGGTACCGTAAGTATCCTTCATCATCACACATCAGTATGTGGGTACCGTAAGTATCCTTCATCATCACACATCAGTATGTGAGTACCGTAAGTATCCTTATCATCACACATCAGTATGTGGGTACCGTAAGTATCCTTCATCATCACACATCAGTATGTGAGTACCGTAAGTATCCTTATCATCACACATCAGTATGTGGGTACAGTAAGTATCCTGTTATCTTTGGTACATTGTAGCTACATTTCGTAGTTAACCCATTATTAAACGGCTTATTAGGAATATCACGACCTCTATAACGGATGTCCACTGCTGATAAATACCTGCACAACATAGGATTTGGAGAGATGGATGTTGGTAAAATGGCCATCAACCTGATTCCATCGAGAAGATACTGTTTCTTTGTGCTTTATCGCGTTAGAAGTGTTCGGTGCTCTTTAGCGTGTTTCGTTGTTGGTTGCATTGTTCTCATTCGATGATGTCAAATAACTGTCCTAAACAGATTAATATTTCATGGTGAATTTTGATACAGCAGACGCTTACAAACACTTGACCGACTCCCACCCTCCCACTCCTGGAACAGACAGATTGTTTTATTCGTCTTTTCTTATTTGTTGATGACTCGTGCTCCGGTTTACGGCTAAACACCTAAGATGTCGATACTGTGAACTTTATATATATATATATTTTTTTTTTTCAGAAAAAGTGAAGGAATCTACAAGTTATCCACCAAAAACAACGACTCTGCCTACTACAACAGTTCCGACCATTCCCTCTTCGCCTTCCACTTTGTCGACCACAGTCAGACGTATGTCTATCACAAAATCTTTAATTTTCATTTTTCTGTATTTTTAGTTTCTTCGCAGGTTTTTACCAAAACCTTGAAACAAAATGGATTAATTTTTCATATAAACTTTAAAATATATTATATTTTTACATCATTTATTTCATATTCAAAACATCTTTTTCAATTTATCCTCGAAAATATCGAATTATAGAAACCCTTCATAAAATAACAACGTTGATAGTCCCAATCACTAAACGAAATCGGTTGTTGTAATACAGAAAACTGAAAACATTCAGGGCGACAGTGATTGTCCTTTGCTCGAATGAATAAATAACTAAAAATAAAAAAAATAAATAAATGAAATTAAGAATATAGCTATCAAATATGAGATGACGCGTCTGATTCAAAGAAAATGAAATAGAGACCTTTGATTTTAAAATGTATGCGTGAGAAAAAGTTTTAGAGGCCATAATGTCCCGCTTGTTTAATGACGCATTTATTTTTTTTGTTCAGAAACATGTCCTTCGTTCCACCCGGAAGCCTCGCTCGTACAATACTACAAAAAGTCCTGTTTAAGGTTTGTCATTGGTGACAAGTCTTGGAACGATGCTAATGCTGAATGCATTAGCCAAGGTGGACTGTTACTTCAGATACACAGTCAACAGGACCAGGACTTTGTCTACCAGAGTCTGAAGTCTCTACGCTGGAGCGACGCGGGGGCGTGGATAGGGGCCACTGACCGTGACGGTGAGGGACATTGGACATGGACTGATGGTAAGTATAGAGATAGGTGTGACTGACCGTGTTAGTGAGGGACACTGGACACGGAGTGATGGTAAGTATAAAGATAGGTGTGACTGATCGTGTTAGTGAGGGACAATGAACATGGACTGATGGTAAGTATAAAGATAGGGGCCACTGACCGTGTTAGTGAGGGACATTGGACATGGACTGATGGTAAGTATAAAGATAGGTGTGACTGGCCGTGTTAGTGAGGGACACTGGACATGGGGTGATGGTAAGTATAAAGATAGGTGTGACTGACCGTGTAAGTGAGGGACATTGGACATGGAATGATGGTGAGTATAAAGATAGGTGTGACTGACCGTGTTAGTGAGGGACACTGGACATGGAGTGATAGTAAGTATAAAGATAGGTGTGACTGACCGTGTTAGTGAGGGACACTGGACATGGAGTGATGGTAAGTATAAAGATAGGTGTGACTGATCGTGTTAGTGAGGGACAATGAACATGGACTGATGGTAAGTATGTAGGGGCCACTGACCGTGTTAGTGAGGGACATTGGACATGGACTGATGGTAAGTATAAAGATAGGTGTGACTGGCCGTGTTAGTGAGGGACACTGGACATGGAATGATGGTGAGTATAAAGATAGGTGTGACTGACCGTGTTAGTGAGGGACACTGGACATGGAGTGATAGTAAGTATAAAGATAGGTGTGACTGACCGTGTTAGTGAGGGTCACTGGACATGGAGTGATGGTAAGTATAAAGATAGGTGTGACTGACCGTGTAAGTGAGGGACACTGGACATATGTTGTGTTAAAATGATTGTAGATATGTGATAGAAAACAGAATCACATATGATAATGCTGGTTTGTTGTTGATGGACCATTTTACTCTAACATTTATGGAGTTTTGATAAAAAGCCTATTACATCATCTTTATTGTGTCACAAGGAATAAATACAACCCAGCAGTTTTCATTAGAGTGGCACTGAAAAAATTGTCATAGGATTAGTGTCACTGTGTTTGGTGACGTTGTGGTCCGCTGTGTATATAACTGATTTTAAAACTCCCCAAAAAGACATATATTACAAAAATATTTGTACTGGAATAGAAATGAAAAAAGAAATGAATTTTTGTCTACAGAAGTTGGTTTATTTTATGGCTTTAAGGCTCTCCCGTCAATTACGGTCACTGGAATCCTGGCGAGGGGTCGTACCACAACACTACGAATGAGAACTGTGCTATGATAAACGTGGATGACGGGATGTGGTATGACTACAATTGTGGATCTGTTATCTACAACCAGGCCTATATATGTCAGTACAGGCTTTGATCAGTAACATTGTCTCTCTATCAAGTATTCACATGGAAGTCCAGGCTGTGATTGGTAGATTTATTTCCCCTTTATATATAAATATGTCAGTGAAGTCAGTGATAAGAAGAATTATCTCCCCTTTATATAGAAATATGTCAGTGAAGGCAGTGATAAGTAGAGTTATCTCCCCTTTATATAGAAATATGTCAGTAAAGGCAGTGGTAAGAAGAATCATCTCCCCTTTATATAGAAATATGTCAGTAAAGACTGATTAGTAGAGTTATCTCCCCTTTATGTATAAATTTATTTGCAACTTAACAAATAAATGTGCTTTACATACACTGGATAACACCATTCCCGGAAAACACAGCCATATCTACGTAATATTATGTACAACTGTATTGACTACAACGTATTGCAGAATAAAAACTATAAACTTTACATGTTATATATCTGTGTTTATTTAATGTTAGTTATTACT